TCTCTCTCTCTCTCTCTGTCTCTCTCTCTCTCTTTCTCTCTCTCTGTCTCTCTCACTCTCTCTCTTTGTCTCTCTCACTCTCTCTCTCTTTGTCTCTGTCTCTCTCACTCTCTCTCTCTCTGAGTCCCCTCTCCCTCTCTCTCTCTCTCTCTCTCTCTCTCTCTCTCTCTCTCTGTGCGTGTAATATATAATCACATACACTCGCCGGGGCTGAACAACACAAAGATTGAAGCTGCCATTGACAAGACCGTAGTCTGGAATCGCATTCCACAAAGCGGCAGTTGGTAATAATAACGAACGAACAAAATACAAAACCGCAGCAAACAGGTCGTCTTAAAAACCACAGTGACGAAGTTATGAAAATGATATAAAAGCAACGAAACGAAATACTTTGCAGATACATTCTAACAATAAACAAAAGGCAGAAAAAACAGCGTCCAAAAACAGAACAACAACAAGCACCTACCCTAAGACAGTGAATTAATTAAGCGCAGAAGTGCAAAAGGACTAGCAATAAACCATTATCATTGTGTAGAGCGTAATTTGATAGAAAATTTCAACAAAAGGGAGAAAACCATGTCGTTATTACACATCGTTTCAATCGGAGTTGTCTCCCATTCGTGATGCACCGCTTCACGTCCGAGGTGCAATAAAACACGGATACGTACAGCAACAGTTCTGGGCGTTCATCCCTTTTTCAATAAGAACACTTCATTTATCCTTTAACTGACCAAAAAAAAAAATAACAGGGAAATAACGCTTCAGTAATAAATTATCTTTCTATGAGACAATAGATCCGCATGATATTGACAATTGCGCACTTACTTAGCTGACCAACAATAAAAAGGGAGACGGACACATTAACGGAGTAGAATCGAAAGGATTTCGGGGGTAACTGTGTAAGTAGACACTGAAATGCGCTGCTCGTGGCAGAACTGAACAAAACACGCCCCTCAAAAACATTCCGGGGGCAAACACTGTCCATGGACAGTCAAACTAGTTACAGGAAACTAAAGAAGAACGTGCATGTCACCTGTGAAAGATTCTATTTATGTAACTCAGAGGGGAAAAAAAAATCACAAAAACATTTACACCGATTGAGACTTACAAGCCACAACAGAACCACATGGTGAGGCATACACCGAAATGGCAGATGAGACTTACTTTAAAAAATAAATAAGACCCCCCTTTGCAAATATTTTTAAAAAACCCACACCACAATAATAAAATTGTTATTCAGAGCAGGTTACAGAAAGGACCAAAAAAAACCCCAAGAAAGATGACGAAGAGAACTAAAGGACCAACTAAAAGAAAAAAAACACAAAAAAACCAACACAAAAATAAATCAGAAATCACACATAGTATTGCACATAAAAGAAAGACAACAGACAAGGGTTACATGACAGAATCTGACAAGCAGAAGGTGAGACATATGAGAGGGACAGACAGACAGTACAAGAGACTAGAGGGTCAGATGGACAGTTGTCACTCACCTGAGTTGGAGTCCTCCCCGACATCAGTGACACTTAAGTTGCTGTCTTCATTGCCCGACGCTGAGGGTGGTCTCTGAATCTGTATGGAATGGACAATGGGGGAAAAGGAATTGTAATCTTTTTTTTTCAAAAAAAAGAAAGGAAAAGGTGGCTTATACTTGTATAAAGAATTCTTAGGTAAAGAAAAACACACACAGATGCAATAACAATCATTTAATGGTGGAAAAAAGCAAGACATATACAGACGAACAAAAGAAAGTAAAGAGAGTTGGACATTCGTTTTTTAAAGTTTTAGTAGAGATTTTACGGCGCTCGCAACTGCATAAGGTCATATGAGCGCCAGAAGACTAGAGGTGTTACAAGAAAGTAACAAACACAAACATGAAGGAGGGGAGATAATGACGATAGATGTTTGATAGGAAAAAAGAAGCAAACCACACCAGAGCATCCGCCAACCACCCACAAAAAAACAAGACATACAGACGAACAAAAGAAAGTAAAGAGAGTTGGGCATTCGTTTTTTTAGTTTTAGTAGAGGTTTTACGGCGCTCGCAACTGTATAAGGCCATATGAGTGCTAGAAAATTAGAGGTGTTACAAGAGAGAAACAAACATAAAAAAGAAGGGGAGATAAGGACGACAGATGTTAGAGAGGAAAGAAGAAGCAACCACCCACATTGACAAAGAAAGGAAAAGGTGGCTTGTACTTCTATAAAGAATTCTTAGGTAAAGAGAAACCCAGACAGACGTTTTTTTGTTTTTTGTTTTTGTAAAGTGTCTTCGGCGCTCGCAACTGCACAAGATCATAAGAGCGCGCGGGACACACTTAATATTTTCAGTTGGTAGGAAATTTTGAATTTTGCCCGGGTGGCGGCCGAAGCCTACTCTTATCGATTTTAGACCACCAAGGGATCTTTAACGTGCATCCCCGATTTTTCGCCCTTGTCCGAGAAGGCTAGGTGTAGATCTTTCCTACCAGAAGATCAGGGGTGTGGCAGAAAGACAGCAGTAAGGAGGAGCCAAGGAGTAACAGTAGAAAGGCTGCAGAAAGAGTCAGGAACCCAGAGGAGGTGAGGGGGGTGGGGGCAGAAAGTGGAAATGAAAGCAGACAACAGAACATTGCTAGAGAGCAGGAAAGGAGGTGAAAGGAGACAATTTTAGAGAAGAAAATTTTTCGGTCGCTACCCGGATTCGAACCCCCCGGGACCTTTGAATGAGAGGCCAACACCTTTTATCTTTTGGGCCAAAAGGGCCCCCCCCCCCCCCCCCCCCCCCCCCGACAGACGCAATAACAATCATTTAAATGATGGGAAAAAGCAAGACATACATTCAGTCGAAAAAAAAGAAAGTAAAGAGAGTTGGAGATTTGTTTTTAAAGTTTTAGTAGAGGTTTTACGGCGCTCGCAACTGCATAAGGTCATACGAGCGCCAGAAGATTAGAGGTGTTACAAGAAAGTAACAAACATAAAAAAAGAAGACGGGGAGATAAGGACAATAAATGTTTGATAGGAAAGAAGAAGTAAACCATACCAGAGCACCCGCCAACCACCCACATTGACAAAGAAAGGAAAAGGTTGCTTGTACTTGTATAAAGAATTCTTAGGTAAAGAGAAACCCAGACAGACGCAATAACAATCATTTAAATGATGGGAAAAAGCAAGACATACATTCAGTCGAAAAAAGACAGTAAAGAGAGTTGGAGATTTGTGTTTTTTTAGTTTTAGTAGAGGTTTTACGGCGCTCGTAACTGCATAAGGTCATATATGAGCGCCAGAAGATTAGAGGTGTTACAAGAAAGTAACAAACATAAAAAAAGAAGACGGGGAGATAAGGACAATAAATGTTTGATAGGAAAGAAGAAGTAAACCATACCAGAGCACCCGCCAACCACCCACATTGACAAAGAAAGGAAAAGGTTGCTTGTACTTGTATAAAGAATTCTTAGGTAAAGAGAAACCCAGACAGACGCAATAACAATCATTTAAATGATGGGAAAAAGCAAGACATACATTCAGTCGAAAAAAGACAGTAAAGAGAGTTGGAGATTTGTGTTTTTTTAGTTTTAGTAGAGGTTTTACGGCGCTCGTAACTGCATAAGGTCATATATGAGCGCCAGAAGATTAGAGGTGTTACAAGAAAGTAACAAACATAAAAAAGAAGAAGGGGAGATAAGGACGATAGATGTTTGATAGGAAAGAAGAAGCAAACCACACCAGAGCACCCGCCAACCACCCACGAGATTTGTTTCACAATGACACACCCAAACATCAATATATTATATAAAACAACAATAAAACTTTTCCACATGACTGTTATCAGCTCTCCAGCCAGGAGAGGGTACTTACGTTATATATATAGTATATATATATATATATATATTACACATGTATAACAACATCACAAGGTGAAAGTAGTCCCTGTGTGTATTTAGCTTACTTTATTAATTAAAGTAGTCCCTGTGTGTATTTAGCTTACTTTATTAATTAAAGTAGTCCCTGTGTGTATTAAGCTTACTTTATTAATTAAAGTAGTCCCTGTGTGTGTTTTGCTTACTTTATTAATTAAAGTAGTCCCTGTGTGTATTAAGCTTACTTTATTAATTAAAGTAGTCCCTGTGTGTATTTAGCTTACTTTATTAATTAAAGTAGTCCCTGTGTGTATTTAGCTTACTTTATTAATTAAAGTAGTCCCTGTGTGTATTTAGCTTACTTTATTAATTAACTGATACGGCCGGTGACGTGTATAGCAGCATTAAGGTAGAACCATAGTAACGCCCGACACCGACAGACAGACCAGACCCGCCGTTTTCCGTCGGGTGCGACCGACCATATTAATTGGCGGTCAGACACCGGAGTTTGGCGGTCAGACGCCGGAGTTTGGCGGTCAGACGCCGGAGTTTGGCGGTCAGACGCCGGAGTTTGGCGGTCAGACGCCGGAGTTTGGCGGTCAGACGCCGGAGTTTGGCGGTCAGACGCCGGAGTTTGGCGGTCAGACGCCGGAGTTTGGCGGTCAGACGCCGGAGTTTGGCGGTCAGACACCGGAGTTTGGCGGTCAGACACCGGAGTTTGGCGGTCAGACACCGGAGTTTGGCGGTCAGACACCGGAGTTTGGCGGTCAGACACCGGAGTTTGGCGGTCAGACACCGCCGTCTTGCAAATATGGCGTGTGGTAGAAGAAGAAAATTGGTGTTGTTGTTGCTTTTGAGACGCAGACAAAAAAAACAACAACAAAAAAACAAAAAAAAACAAGACAAGAAGAGTTTCAGTGCATCCCATCCCAAAAAAAACGTGATACACTAGGTGAATTTCATCACTTGTTTCCACCGTTGTTGGAAGATAGTGAAATTTCCAACAATACTATCGCATGAAACATAGCAGTTTCAATGAACTGTTAGAGATATGCAGAGCTGACTAGAACTAGATCTAGATCTGCTAGAATTCTGTGTAGCGTCATTGAGGCGGGAAAGGGGCCACAACTATGCAGAGATAATATTATTAAAATTACCTCCCATCTCGCCCGACGGCCCGACGGACCGTCCTCGACAGAACTTGTTTTATCGGAGACGGTCTGACCGGGGACGACGCAGGACGTCGTGTGTCAGTATGGTAGCGCGTTTTTGTTACCTTCCATTACTAAAGAGACGGTGGCCATTCTTTCGTGCCTGAAGACGTCTGGTCTGACCGTCCGTGTCGGGCGTTAATATGGTTCCGGCCTTAAAAATCGCATTTTTCTGATGTTAGGAGAGTGGGGAAATGGTGAGTCGCGACTATATCTCAAATAAGTACGACTCCGGGATAAGCACACACACACACACACACACACACACACACACACACACACACACACACACACACACACACACACACACACACACACACACACACGCAATACTTAATAAAAGTTAACTGTAGCCCGTCCTTCGGAATTTAGTTGACCTACTAAGGGGTTCTCTACTCTGTGTTGGCCATACGCAGGACTGCACACATAGTTTAAGATGTAAATTTGGAAATTAAAACAAACATAAAAAATCTAGGGAGAGGTTGTTGGTTGTTTGGTTGTTTTGTTTTTGGTGTTTTTTTGGGGGGGGTTGAAGTTTTTGGTATTTTGGTAAGAGTTTTACAACATTTGCAATACAAATATGTCATATTGTAAGTGCTGAAGATTAGAGGTGTTACTAGAGAGTAACATACAAAGAAAAGGAAGAGGAAATATGTGAGGCAGCGTGGTGGAATCAGGCTCTCCTCAAAATAATCAAAGTGAAAAAACCTGCATTTTTCCACAGGTTTGTGAATTTTTATCAAATTTTTGTTTTTTGGCTCAAAACCTTTCATGCTCATTAAAAACTCACTTCTGAGTGGATTTTCCTGAAAAACATTCATTAAAGGCACAAAAAATGGACATTTTCAGTTAAATACGGACTCTTAAGCTATGGAAATAAGTAGTCGTAGGCGGCCATTTTCTCACTATTTTTTTCCTCTGAAAACCGGTGACCCCCACCTCCTTCTTTCGTAAATATCTCGACTTGTATTCAAGATAAATGGATACTTTTTTCATCCAAATAAAGACAAGTGGACAAGCTTTAAGATGATACCAATAACTCTACATGTCCAAAAATTGACGTGAGCCTGATTCCACCACGCTGCCTCACAAATATAATAACCAATGCATGTTTGATAGGAAAGAAGGAGCAAACAACACGAAAGGAACCACGGAGTGAAAACATAATACATATATGCGTTGCACCTAACGACCTTCAAAGAGCCGCTTCGCGAAGACAAACTAATGAGGGGGGAAATAGCGTGAGGGGAGAGGAGGGGGGGGGGAAGGGGGGATAAAGAAGAGAAAGCTGGAATTAATATAACCAGCAATCAACGGTAAACAATGAATCCAGACCCCCCCCCCACCAACCCAATTTTTACCTTCCAGTACCCATCTGAAAAAAAGGTTAACTAAAAATGCTTGTATTATTTAGCTATGGTTTCTCTTTTTTCCAAGCGCATACCGCCAAAGCGTACCACAACAACAAGAGAGTAAGACACGGCGCAAGATGCTCCCCTCGTCATCACCGCCCCGCTTTGAT